CAATACACCTTTCGATGGCTTGGATGATCTCATCAGGGAAAATCCCATCCACAACTCTCCTAGACTATCTGGGGGCTATGTATGCATTAAGGATTAATGGTGGTCTGCCCAGACCATGGGCGCAGAGGACTTTTGCCTCCAATTCCACTGCCAGAGTTCATCTGGAGGTCATCATGGAATTTCACATTTTTGATAGCAGGGGAACTATGGGTAGCATATGGGGTATATTAAGGGCACTATGGGTAACACTGCAGCTATGGTGCAAAAGGGGTGCTGAATGCAATTGACAATATCTGCAGCAACAAAGTGGAATCACAGAAATTAGATATATCTTCATCTGCACTGACGATATATCTAACATCTAAAATATTAGGATAATATTTTAAAAATAATTTTGTGCATGAAACAAAGATTGTGTATACTGAACCATCCAAATGCAAAGGTGACCTATCTCAGCCACCCATGTAGACAATTTTGGATTTTTGAGTATTTCAGACTTCATAATTCCAGATGAGGGATACTCGAGCTGTAATACATCTTATTCAGATGTTTTAAAAAGAAAGAAAGAACAAAAGATGGAAAATATAATTCCCTTATATTTATGAATAGTAATTACTGAATCAAAATCATGCATCAGGCACAGAGCTACTGAAGTATGGTGGTTCAAATCCCTAGTTCAAAGCTTTGTTTAGCCCCAAACTCATTGGGCAGCCTTAGGTAAGTGTATTATTTTAATAGTTTTCTATGAAGAGGCTCATAATCTGTGGCTTTAACTGTAATTTATGTAGTTTATGCATAAATCCAGCAACAGGAAAGAAGATGAAGACACTTAACACAAGCTCTTCCAAGTGCTGTGAAAATATCATACATCACCTAGGATTGTCGATAGGACTGCAGGGATGAAGAAATCCACAAGAAAACAATGGTTGCTTCTCCCATAAAAAAAAAAATCCAAACATATGAACACTCTGCATCCTAAGCACTTTCAGGGAAAACCTAATTCCCATAATTAGATAGGAAGCTCATAGCAATATAGTAATATATTGTACAGCCTTTCATTTAAAGTCATGATGGCAACAGCCAGTGAATATTACTCAAACGACGTGTCCTACATAACTGAAAAAATAGTCTCATAATTCCAATCTGTATGTGTATACTACTGTTTTTGATTCTCCTTCCCTTTCTGAACAGCAACTCCCTCCAATGCCAATCACTCATTCACTTCTCAAAATCAGATAGAAATGATTTTCTGCTTTCAAACTTTCTGTTTTTAGGGAAAGGCTGAGGCTAGTCAGCTTTTGCCTAAAGGCAAAAGAAATTGTGGCAAACCATGATTTCTAATACGTATCAGAGTGCCGGTGTGGTGTAGTGATTTGAGCACTGGACTATGATTCCAGAAATCAGGGACAGAATCCCCGCTTGGCCATGGAAACCCACTGGGTGACCTTGCGTCATGTCTCATTCCTTCAGACTTGAAGGAAGGCAAAGGCAACCCCAGTCTGAACAAATCATGCCAAGAAAACCCCGTGATAGAGTCACCATAGAGTCGCCATAAATTAGAAATGACTTGAAGGAAGGTGCACACCAACAACAACAATCAGAGGTGGAAGAGAGGCAACAACCAATGAATGGATAAACAAACATCCAATTCTTAGCATATCTACTCATTGAGTTAAATGAGACTTATTCCCAGGGGATTTTCAATGAACTACATTTGATGGCAGATGAACCAGATTCAGATTTATATGTTTTTTTGATAGTTGATAAAGCAGCACAGTGCTTATGTCATTGCAGGCAATTATAACTGTGCATAAGCTAGGATTAGATAAATCTTCACCCACTAAGGCAACCCAGTAGCCTAATGTGACTGACAGTTTCAGATAGGCTCTGGATCAATAAGAGCACCTTGGGGGGAAGATTAAAACTGAATAAAAAGGAATACACATTTTGTTCCCATGTCAACCACTCATATGGTAGGATTGATTTTTTCCTCTTGATATCAAGAGTAATTTAGGCTTTCGTGAGAAGATAATCCCAATCTTGTCTGTTTCTCTGGTCACACAATTGTCAATTTCAGGGCTAGCTTAACTGTTTGAATCATTTCGAGAGATGGTCAATGAATAATTGCACTCATTCCCAACAACCTGATTGTAAGCCTTTTAAGAGCAGCGTGATGTCTTTCTATTTCCATCTAATTGAGATCAATCCCCTTTTGTTCCATGTGCTTGCAGCTTGTCCGCAAAGGAAATTAATTTTGTCCCAGTGAGCCTCTCTGAGTTCAAGGGTGCAGGAAATAGATGAGACTTCCCAAGTGCAACTCAAAAAAATAAAATGGAAATGACTTGGGTAAAGCTGCTCACTAGCATTCAGGGATCATGGATACATCAATGGAAAGGATGCAAACCTTTTGCTTCTGTCATTTTTCAGGCTTTGGGAGGCGGTTCAGTCCTGGTCCCTACTGCTGCTGATAATAAATATTAGGAAAAATTTCGTGACAGCAAGAGCTCCTTGATAACAAAATGGACTGCCTATGAAGGTGATGTATTCTACTTTTTTTTGAGGGTTTTAAACATAGGTCAGATGGCCATCTCTCAGGCTGTGGATTCCAGCACTAGCAGGGGGTTATGAAATGGATCTCCCAGCTTGGTAGTTCTACACTTCTATGAGACTACCTGTGTTACACTTGTTGTTCTCCTTCACCAAAGTAGTCCTTCCATCTACCAGGTCAATCTTGCAATTAAGCAGAGAGTTGGTTGCTTCAGGTAGCTGATTTGGGATGTCATGAAAACATACATTACTTGATTATTACTGGTGTATTTTGATTGCCTGGGAAGTGTAGAGATACTCTTATTTGTGGGATTTTCTGCCTCAGGTGTCAAAGTAACATGACTAACCTTGGATTTGGAGGCAAATGTCATTTGCTATCCTATCCTATCAGAGCAATGTGATATGGGACCCTAATACTGCTTTGTGAATAGCCAGTTTGATGTAATGGTTTGATGGTGTAGGGCTCTGGAGTCTGGGGGTCGATTCCTCGCTCAGCCATGGAAACCTTGGGTGAGTCACACACACTCAGTCCCAGAAAACCCTTTGATAGGTTCACCTTACGGTGGTTATGAGTCAGAAATGAGTGGAAAGCCCACAACCGCAACATTAATATGTGAATAGGACCTAAGTGTCTAGAGTAAAATCACAATAATCACACCTATATGTGCTCCTTGACAGTGTTCTTCTTGATTCCTATTTAATGAATTGCTGTTACTTTTCTTAATTGCTGAAGAAGAAAAAAACTGCAACTGCCTAGTTTTAGGGAGATGCAATGTGGTTTTCAGTGTATGCTTTAATTTTACATTCTATAATGATTAAGATGGCTGCAGGTATATTAAATTTTGCATATTGCCTTGGAAAGGCAAATGTGGCTTGTAAAGTAGCCTATTTACTAGTTAATCATAGGAAACAAAAATGCATATCTGCAACTCATAATGGGCTCAGCAGTTAAGACGCTGACTCTGATGACTGCAAGATCGGCAGGCCAGCCATTCAAGGCCCAGGTGCTGCGTGGCTGAGTGAGCTCTTGTCACAAGTCCCAGTTTCTGCCAACCAAAGAGTCGGAAAGCATATAAAAGTGCAAGTAGATAAATAGGTACCAATTCGGTGGGAAGGTAAGAGTGTTCTGTGCAGTCATGCTGGCCACATGATCACAGAGTTGTCTTTG